GAAATCTTTCTCCATGAAGGGAACATCCTCAATCAACACAGCTGAGTGCACATTGAAAAATACTCCGAATGTTATATGATCACTCCCTGGGTGCTGAGGATGATGCTGTAGACAGCAACCGTGGAACACTGTGGGAGCGATGCCATTAAAAAGGCAGTCCAGTAGAAAGGCAGTAATAGGCAGCCTTGAATATGCTCAGCCTGTCAGCCCATTTCCCTCCTTTTTAAAGGTGTTTGTTTGTTTTGAGATAGAGTCTCACTATACCTGTAGTTCAGGCTGGCCTTGAACTTGCTAAGTAGCCCAGGCTGGCCTCACCAAGATCCTCAGCCTCTTGAGTGCTGGGATTACAGGTGTATGGCACCATGCCCGGCCTTGAAGTATTATTTTTGAGCTACTATAAAACAGCTCCTTTTTGTTTCATTTTCCAACATTTATTGTGAGTTTTCTTTTTTCTTTTTCTTTCTTTTGAGACAGGGTCTCATTCTGTAATTTAAACTGCCCTTGAGTTTACTATGTAGCCCAGGCTGGCCTCGAACTGAAGGCATTCCTCCTGGCTCAGCCTCCAGGAGTGCTGGGATTACAGGCATGCACCACCACGCCCAGTTTATTATAAGATTTTTTGTATTTGTTTTATTTTTTTTTTTTGAGACAGGGTCTCTCTATGCAATTCAGGGTGTCCTTGAACTCACTTTGCAGTCAAGGCTGGCCTTGAACTTGAACTCAAACTCATGGCTATCCTCCTGCCTCAGCCTCCTGAATGCTAGGATCACAGGTGTGTGCCACCATGCCTGGCTATTATGAATTTTCACACAAAGATTAAAGAATTTTACAATGAACACCAATACAGTCACCTTCATTTTACAATTATCATTCTATTATATTCCAATAGCTTTCTCTTATTCTAGCAATAACAGACAAGAAACAAATATATATGCCATTTACAACACTGGAAAAGGTATATGTGAAACAGCAATAGCATAGACAAAGTTCCAATGAAACTTTCTTTCTAGACAATGGAGCAGGAAAAGAGCAACCCAGCAACACAGAATATATTAGATGGCTGATCTATTCTAGCCAGATGCCAAGAAAAACTTCACCCACACCAAAAATGGCAGAGCAGGGAAGTAGCATGGTGACACACATCTGTAATCCCAGCACTCCGGGTGGCTGAGGCAAAAGGATCGGAATTTTTGCCCCACTCTGGGCAATTCAGCAAGTTAGTGAGACCGAAAATAAAAGATAAAGGCCTGGGGATGTAACTCAGTGCAGAGACCCTGGGTTTAATCCCCTGTACCACAAAAAAAGAAAAAAATATGTAGTGGAGTGGGAGGCCTAGGTTTCTGCCCGCTTTGGAAGTTTGTAATGAGATTTCCCCCGTTTCCCTTCCCCCTCAGTGGAGACCATGAGGGAACCTGATGTTCCTTCTCCTTCGGGTCAGGGTGGTGCAGGAGGAGACCTAGCGAAGGAGGACATTCACCACCACCCAGTGGTAAAGGGACCACCCATTCTCAGTAGTGTACGTTCATGAATTGTGCCAGTCTTAGCACAGAACAACCTCGGTTGACCTGGTATTACTAAAGACAGAATAGGTCTACTTTCTGAAATCTATCTTTGTCAAATAATTTATAGAGTTTTCTTTTTATGCTTTTGGTGCCAACCATGCCCCATTAGGCAATGGCATTTCTCTATAGGGATTGGCCAGATCTGCTGTCAATCATCTAGAACGTCATCAATTGGTCAAGTTCCATGGGCGGGAATTAGCTTGAGCCCAGGATGTAAGCGGTCAGGCAGCCGGCTGAAGGTGCCCTGGGCTCAGAGGTTTCAAGGGAACTGGACAAAACCACAGGTTCTGTTGATCCTCTAGTACCAGTGAGGTAAACTGCCAGTCTAAGGTTGTGAGATGGGAGGGTATCCTTCAGGAACTTTCCAAAGATGGGCCAGGTTTTGGGCCACAAGATTCTAAGGGACATTGCATTTTGAGACAAATTGAAGTTATTTTTGTTGTACTGTTTCATCATCTTCAAACTCTTGAAGGTTATAATCTTTACTTACCTGTGATGTGAAGAATTTAGGTAAAAGTATATCAGGATGGTACTTATCTGTAGATAAAACGGAGCAGCAAAATGGCGTTCACAGAAGTACCCTCAGCAGTCATAGCTTTGTGACCTCATTCAGGCCTCCTGTGATCCACAGAAATCACTGGAGGACATGCTAAGTGCTAGTTTTGATTTGGTTTGGTTGTTCTTCGCATTCAAGTTAGTGGGGGTGTAAACGATTGTAATTTTAAAAAAGCATGTCAGACTTCCAATTTAGATCGCTAGTCTGATCAAATGCGTTTTTCTCCCAAAAAAGAAAAAAACAAAGGATAACAGGGAAGGGTGTGATCAGACCAGTGAGAAGTTCTTGAAGATATGGAACAAATAGGAGATAATTAATTGAGAAACTAGAGTCAATGAGTCCATAACTCTGTACAGATATGGGAGAAGGCTGCTGTAACAGTGAATCCTCTGTTTTCTAACAGCCTAAAAGATGTCATACTCAGCTGGATCACACGAAGCAGATGAGGATGGAGCCAACTTAGAAGAAAATGGTGAGTAAATGAACTAGTGAAACTTGTAGTTAAGTCTGAATAATTGTAAAAAGAAAAACCGCAGTAGAAAGAATTGAGATGTGTTATGTTCATGTACCAACTCCCCATGATGAATGTAATCATTATATACTGCAAACGTGTATTAATAATTTTTCTTTCTTTTTTTTTTTTTTTTTTTTGGTCTTTTTGAGACAGTATCTCACTATGCAGTTCAGGCTGGCCTTAGACTCACTTTGTAGCCCAGGCTGGTCTTGATCTTGTAACTATCCACCTGCCTCAGCTTCCTGAGTGCTGGAATTACAGGTGTGTGCCACCTCATCTAGGTTTAATAATTTTTCTAAAAAATAATTACAATAAACTTGAGTAAATTATTAAGATATTATTCCTCAGAACATCAAGTATAATTAAACAATAGCAAGTTGCAAGGTAGAATAAGTTTCCCCAAAGAGAATTGCAATTAGGGAATGACTGGTCAAGAGCACACTTCATTTAGATTGTTGTTGTTTTTCAGTGAGAATGTAGTCCGGTAATATTTTGGGAAAAACTTCAAAATTTGAGTGTTGCTAAGGGAATGTGACAGTCAACAGTCATGCAGAAGATGGAGTCATATATTGACACACCATTTTTTAATAGCCTAGTTTTTATTCTCTACTCTAATTATGTAAGCCATACAATAAAAATAATTAAGGGTATCTTTTTAAAATAGCTTAGCATGTGATTTGTCTATTTTAAAGTCTCTGTACATGTACAGACAATTTTGAGAGTGATGAAGGCCATTGTAATATTATATTTTAACTTTTCACATATATTTATATCTCTCTTTTTTTTTGTCTTTTTGAGACAGGGTCTCACTATGCAGTTCAGGCTGGACTTGAGCTCACTTTGTAGCCCAGACTGGTCTCGAACTCACAAAGATCCTCCTGCCTCAGCCTCCCAAGTGCTGGGATTACAGGTGTATTTATATGTTAAATACGCCTTCTCTTACCTTGTATCTTCATAGATAGCATTTAGTGGCTACACAGTCACATGTCTGGTGACCTGACTGAGTGTAATTTACTTAATTGCCTTTCTTGCTTTTTCTTTTTCTTTCTTTCTTTTTTTCTTTTTCTCTTTCTTTCTTTCTCTTTCTCATTCTCTTTTTCTCTCTTTCTCTCTCTCTTTCTCTCTCTCTTTCTCTTTCTCTCTCCTTTCTTTTTTTCTTGTCTTTTTGAGACAGGGTCACACTATGCAGTTCAGGCTGGCCTTGAACTCACTTTTTAGCTCAGGCCAGCCTGAAACTCAAAGCAATCCCCCTGCCTTAGCCTCGCAAGTCTTGGGATTATGTGTATGCACCACCATGCCCAGAGGTGTTCTTAATTTTTGATTCTGGTTTTCTTCTTTCAAATTTTTAAATTTTGTTGTTCAGTTTTTATAGTACATAATGCTTACCTTCATCATGAGGAGTTGGTACATGTACTTCTTTTAAAATTAACTTTTTGGTATACTTTTGATATACAAAATGATCACATTCATTGAGAATTTGTACCTGTACACAATATATCTTCATTATTCTTTTTCCCCCATTCCCCTCCCTTCAACTCCTTTCCATTGTTATTTACTTTTATTTATTTATTTATTTACTTACTTACTTACTTATTGGTCCTGGGACTCAAACTCAGGACCTTCCACTTGCCAGGCCGGTGCTTCTGCTGCTGAGCTATGCCCCTGGCTCCATCGTTATTTACAAAAGTTTAGTTTCCATTTTTTCCTCTTATTCTCTTTTTCTTTCTTTTCCTTTCCTTCCCTTTCCTCTCCTTCTTCCCTTGTTCAGCTTCCCATTTCCCAGTATCTGTCATCTATTTTGGTCCTTATTTACTCTTTTGGTTTTTCACACAAGAGAAACAATGCAATTTTTAAACATATATGTCTGATTTATTTCACTTAAAAGTATGGTCTTAAGGTCTATCCATTTACCTAAAAATTTTTCAAGTTTATTCTTTCTTTATGGCAGAGTAGTACTCCATTGTGCATAAAAAGCACATTTTCTTTATCCATTCATCAGTTGATGGGCATCTGGGCCGTTTCCAAAATTTATCTATTGCAAATGGTACTGCTATAAACATGGGTGTACATGTATCTCTGTGGTATGGTGCTTTTTAAGTCTTTCAGGAAGATATCAAGAAGGGGAATAGCTGGGTCAAATGGAACCTCCAATTTTAGTTTTTTGAGGAATCTCCACACCAATTTCCACAGTTTGTAGCAGTCTATACTTCCGCCAACAGTGGAGAAAGGTGTTTTTGTTATTTGTCTTTTTGGGACAGGGTCCCACTATGCAGTTCAGGCTGGCCTTGAATTCATTTCATAGCCCAGGCTGGCCTCAAACTTGCAGCTATCCCCCTGACTTAGTCTCTGTATGTGTTGGGATTACAGGCATGCGCCACCATGCCTGGCTCCCAGTCTGTTATAGCTGTTTACTGTAACATGTTTGTAGTTGTAAGGCAATGGAAATAATCAAATGTCTCAAAATAGGGGAAATTAAATTAAATTAAAAATAAAATTTCATTTATTTTTGTCTTTTTGATTTTTTTGTTTTTGTTTTTTTGTCTTTTTCAGATAGGGTCTCACTATGCAGTTCAGGCTGGCCTTAGACTCACTTTGTAGCCCAGGCTGACCTCGAACTCACAATGATCCTCTTGCCTCAGCCTCCCAAGTGCTGGGATTACAGGAGTGCACCACCACACCCAGCTTAGAAAGTAAAATTTTAATACATATAAAAGAATGTATGGCATGTAATTTATGGAGCATAATAAAACATTCACAAACCTATCATTAGCTTGAGAACTAGAACATTACCAGTAGTTTCAAATCTCCCTAAATTCTCTGCCCCGTCTTCCTTAAAATTTGCCCTCACATTTCACATTTCCTCTGAAGAAATTCTCTATTTGAAATCTACCCCTGGTCTGTCTGTCTCTTTCTCTTTCTTTTTTGGCATTACTGGGATTGATCCCAAGGCCTTCATACTAAGCTACACTTCCAGCACCACTTTAAATTTTGAGACAGGATTTTGTAAAGTAACTAAATTGCCTGGGCTGGGTTGGAACATGTGATCCTCCTGCCTCAGCATCCCAGAGTACTGATTACAGGTAGATGCCACCACACCCAGGATATCTTGGATTTTTTTTGCTTTTTTACCACTTTATTCCAACCTGAGCACCTCAATATAAAACTAAACGCTGGTGAACGATATCTTGGATCTTCTGTTTATTATTTCCTTTTTATATTTTAATAGTTTTATTACATTTTCTATCTATAAATTTTTTTGTGTATATTTTATAAAAATGTTATCAAAACAAGGAGAATAAATCCAACGGGAGGGCTGAGGTTGTGATACTAGATTTTGTAGAAACCTAAGGAAGCCTGTTTTGGTTGGTTTTTGTTGTTATTGTTTTTCGTTTTGTTTTGTTTTGGTTTGGTTTTCTTTTGGTCTTTTTGAGATAGGGTCTCACTGTGCAGTTCAGGCTGGCCTTGAACTCACTTTGTAGCCCAGGCTGGTCTCGAACTTGCAATGATTCTCCTGCCTCAGTCTCCCAAGTGCTGGGGTTACAGGCCTGCGCCACCAAGCCAGGCTAAGGAAGCCTGAAGGGGAAGAGGAAATGAATGACAAAGAAACTCAGAACATTTGCTTTAAAGCCTTAGAGCCCCTAGGATTCCTCAGCCCCTCCAGGCTCTAAGAACTAATTCTGCCTATGTAGGGAACTGATGCCACTGAGTCAGAGAGTGAGGCTGTTCATTTTCCTGTTTTGTGACACAGTAGGCAGCGGGGTGTGGATCAGTTAAATAAGAAGCAGAGCCGACTGCCAGGAGCCGCGTGCCACCACACAATGGCTCAGAATCGCCGCTGAACAGGGCTTTGCTGAACTCGCGATGATCCTCCTGCCTCAACCTCCCAAGTGCTGGGATTACAGGCATGTGACACCGCGTCCAGCAAAGTTTGGGTTCTTAATTAAAGATTTCTTTTGAAATCACAGTGAAAAGCTGCTGCCAGGTATACAGGAGGTCACACCGAACCGCTTGGTTCAGATAAGGATTAATCAAATCTGGCCACTGCGCCATGGGTGCGGTACTTTTGAAGCAGTGTCCTTATCACAGTGATGTGTTTTAGATTCACATTTTGTGACTCAAATATGTTATGAAGCTATTCTTTTATCTTGTGTGTGGTAAATCTCTGTTTATATGTAGTTTGGAAAAATTTAATGATACTGTTTTAATGATAGGGTATTATGATATAATGTAAAAAAAATTGGTCCTTTCATAGTACAGAAAGTAATCTATATATGAAGAATCCATAACCCCTTTCATTCTGTGTATAAAATTGCAGTCTAGTGAAATAAACTGTATGCAACAGGCAAAAAAAATGTTAACAAATAGTATATATCCTATGATTTGTTGTTTTCACAGAAAATTATTTGAGACTTATGCTTGTTGCTATAATTACTCATTTTTAAAATTCAGTATAGTATTATTTTTTTTTTTTTTGTCATTTTTGAGAGAGGGTCTCGCTATGTTCTTCAGACTGGCCTTGAGCTCACTTTGTAGCACAGGCTGGTCTTGAACTCTCAAGGATCCCCCTGCCTCAGCCTCCCAAGTGCTGGGATTACACGCCTGCGCCCCCATGCCTGGCCAGTATAGTATTTTTTGTGTGTGATTGTAACATAATTTATTTAGCCATTCTCCTAACAAAGAATATTACCTTGCCTTTTTTTTTTTGTCTTTTTGAGACAGGGTCTCACTATGCAGCGATCCTCCTGCCACAGCCTCCTGAGTGCTGGGATTACAGGCTTATTCCACCAAGCCTGGCTTCCCCTTCCCGTTTGCAAAAGATGTATTTCCATTTCTTACATGTCTGTTGAATGTTTATGTAGTTAGAACAATCAACAGGTTGACAGCATTTAGTTTTCTTTTACCCCCGCTGAGAATGCCTCCTGAGTGCTGGGATTATAGGCATGCGCTACCACGCTGGC